AACCCACTGCCACAGGGGCTGCAGCCTACGCCGTCGCCGGCAACTCACGGGCAGCCCAGCTCCAGGCTGAGCTGTTGTTCAGCATCTTAGCTGTGGAGGGCAGTGTCACTGGCCCTCATATGTGGGATCCGAACCGGGGCCCTCTGGCATCCCAAGCAAGTTCTTAACCATCGCGCCACTCGGCCGGCCCTAGAGTTCTTTCTTTTTCTTTTTCTTTTTTTTGTTTAGCTGAGCCATCCTGCCACCTGTTGACAGCTCAGCGGCAGCTCATCTCGGGCCGTGAATTGAAACGGTGACCCTGTCGCTCAGAGCTCACACTCTTGAGTGAGCTCTTAACCAACTGATCCACTCGGCTGGCCCTCATTTTTTTTAACTCTCTAGTCTCTCTCTTCTTCTATCTGTGTCATTTCCAGATTTCTATCTTTGATGTCATTGTTTCTTTCCTTCATGTGGTTAGCTCTATTACCTAAGCTGGCTATTTCATTCTTCTTTTATTTCATTGGATTCTTAATCTCTGGAGATTCTATTTGGTTATTTTCTTAAAATTTCACTCTGTTTGGTAAAATGTTCATTTTGTTATTTGATTGTGTTTCAGAGTTTATTAAATTGCCTGTGTGAACTTTTCTGCATCTCATTTTTTTCATAACTGCAATCTTGAATTCTCTGTCATTTAAATCACATATTTTCATGTCTTTAAGTTCATTTTCTGTATTCTTTTCATTTTCTTACTGAGTTGCATTGTTACCTTGGTTATTTATGGCAATTAGTGAATTATTATTTCTCTTCCTAGGTATCTACAGGAGTGGGTTCTGCAACAGGTTGATAGGAAGAGGTCTTTTTTATGCTTTCCAGTAGGTTTTTGGTAGAATGCTTAGTTTTCTCTCTGACTGCAGCCTTTTATTATCTCTCATGCTGTAGTGTTATATTTTCTCTGCACTGTTCCAGCTTCTCACACAATGGAACATGGGCTTCTTTTCTGTGAGTAGGTCACCTGGGTCTCAGGGCACCACATCTGTGGGAGATGTGGAGAGCTTCTGAAGTTCCAAAGCTCTTCCTGCACCAGATTCATGGCCTATGTGTTTCAGAGGCTCTGTTTATCTTTGCAGGGATCCACTCAGCGAGGTGGGGACAGGGACAGTGGTTTGTGGAGGTGGCTCTGAGCAATGGCGGCAACTACCAGCACAGGCAATTTTGCACCAAATGCTCTCTCTCCTTCACTGCAACTCATTAGGATGCAAGTCAGTGGCTGTGGGCTACAGTCCTCAGAACTGCAAATATTCTTTTCTTTTGATCTGACACTGCTACCGTTCTGCTTCTAGCATTGGGAGGGTGAGGGTGGGGTGAGTCTGGGAGGGTAGGGAGGAGTCAGTTATCCTCCAAGCCTATGTCTTTTGTCCTTTGCTTGGCAGTGAGTCTTAAACTGCCATTTTTACCGTTCATCTATCAGTCTTTGCTCCGAGGTCTCTTGCTTGAGAGTCGGGTTCAGCCATGTTATATGCTGGTCCATCAGGTGGGACTGTGGGCCATAAGAGTAGTGTTTGCAATCCTAACTCTTCCTTATTCCACAACTGCTTTAGCTCTGGAATGCAGGAAACTCAGAGCTCTGAGTTTGGTCTGCATCCATCCTGCAGCCCATGTGGCTTGCTTCTCCACACTTCCTGCTTCCCTCCTTCTCCCATCACCCAATTTTCCCACCTTTAGATGATTTATGTTGTGTGTCTCTTAGTTTGGCCTGTCTGCTGCACATGGGGTTTTTTGTGGAATCATAGCTGTTGAATTTGTTGTAAATTCCAGGGAAGATTTCAAGATGCTCACCTCACGCTGCCATTTCTATGATGTAATCCCCCAAAATCAGTTTTAAGAGGGAAATTCATATCATTACAGGCCTATGTCAAGAAAGAAGAAAAGTCCCCCATAAATAACCTCACATTATTTCTTCCAAGAACCATAAAAGGAAGAACAAGTGAAACCAAAAGTCAGCAGTAGGAAGGAAATACTAAAAATCAGAGAACTAAATGAAATAGAGAACAAAAAAACAATAGAAAGAGTTAATGCAACAAAGAACTCATTCTTTGAAAAGATTAATAAAACTGACAAATACTTGGCTACACTCATTAAGATAAAAAGAGAGAATACACAGATAAGCAAAATTAGAAATGAAAGAGAGGAAGTTACCATGGATGCCACAGAAATGCAAACAATCATCCAATACTATGAAGGGCTATATGCCAACAAATTCAATAACCTAGTAGAAATGGACAAGTTGTTAGAAATATATAGCCTTCCTAGGCTGAATCACAAAGAACTGGAAAATCTAAATAGACCTATCAACAGTAAGGAAATTGAATCAGTCACCTGAAACCTCCCCAAATGTAAAAGTTGAGGACCAGATGGCTTCACTATTGAATTTTACCAAGCATTCAAAGGGGATCTAATACCTGTCCTACTCAAAGTCTTCCAAAAATTTGAAGAAAAGAATACTCCCTAACTCATTTTATGAATCCAACATGACCCTGATACCAAAACCTGGTAAGGATAACAAAATAAAAGAAACTTAGAGACCAATATCTCTGATGAATACATATTCAAATATCCTAAACAACATTCTAGCAAACTGAATACAACAATGCATTATAAAGATTATTCCTCATGACCAAGTGGGGTTCATCCCAGGAGCACAAGGATGTTTCTACATATGCAAATAGATCAATGTGGTACACCACATAAACAGAATAAAGGACAAAAATCATATGGTTATATCAATAGATGCAGAAAAAGCACTAGGCAAGATACAACATCCACTTATGATTAAACACTTAATAAAATGGATATAAAAGGAAAATATCTTAAGCTAATAAAGGTCATATATAAAAAACCCTCAGCTAATATCATAATTAACTTTAAAAAGTTAAGCCCATTGCTCTACATTTAGGAACAAGACAGGGCTGTCCTGCATGACCACTGCTTTCCAACATATAAGGTCTGGCAATTAAGTTTGCAATGATGCAATGATATTGCTAACACTTTTTGATATCAGTGGGATTATTCATTATGAATTTGTATCAACTGGACAAACAGTTAACAAATTTTACTATTTGGAAGTGCTGAAAAGCCTGCATGAAAAACGTTAGATGACCTGAACATTTCGCCAATTCATGGTTCTTGCATCATGACAATGTACAGGCTTACAAGACACTGTCTGTAAGGGAGTTTTTAGTCAGTAAACAAGTAACTGTTTTGGAACACCCTCCCTACTCACCTGATCTGGCCCCCAATGACTTATTTCTTTACCCAAAGATAAAGGAAACATTGAGAGGAAGACATTTTGATGATATTCAGGACATCAAGGGCAATATGATGACAGCTCTGATGGCCATTCCAGAAAAAGAGTCCCAAAATTGCTTTGAAGCATGGACTCCGCACTGGTGTCAGTGTGTAGCTTCCCAAAGGGAGTACTTTGAAGGTGACTGTAGAGATGTTCATCAATTAGGTATGTAACACTTTTTCTAGGATGAGTTTGTGATCTTAATCTTCAGAGCTCATACACTGTTGGTGGGAATGCAGATTGATGCAGCTGCTATAGAAGGTAGTGTGGATATTCCTCAAAAATTTAAAAATAGAATTACCATATGATGCAGCAATCTCCCTCCTGAGTATTTACCCCAAAATTCTGAAAACATTTATCCATAAAAATATATGTGCTTCGATGTTCATTGCAGCTTTATTTATGGTGGCCAAGACATGGCAACAACAAAAGTGTCTTTTCATAGATGATTGGATAAAGGTGATGTGGTATATATATGCAATGGAATACTACTGTGCCATTAGAAAAGATGAAATAGTGCCATTTGTGACAAGATGGATGAATGTTGAAGTTTTTATGCTAAGTGAAATAAGTCAGACAAAAAATAATGAACAATACAATTTCACTCCAATAAAGTTTAATTAAAAATATTTAACAATGAATGCTAATAAAAAATATTGTTTTCAAAATAGAAGGAATGTATTCATTTCCATGATGCTGATATCACTCTTCTCAAGTTTTACATACATAGAATACTATTCTGCTATAAGAAAAGATGAAGTAGTGTCATTTGCAACAACATGGATGGATCTTGAGATTATTATGCTAAGCAAAATAAGTCAGACAGAAAAAGTCAAGAACCATATGATTTCACTGATATGTGGTATATAAAATTGAAAACAACAAATGAAGAAGACAAACAAATGAAGAAACAAAACTCATAGACACAGACAACAGTTTAGTGTTTGCCAGAGGGTAAGGGGGGGGAGGCAAGTGGTAAATGAGGGTACAGAGAATCAAATATATGGTGATGGAAACAGAACTGACTCTGGGTAGTGAACACAATGTGATATATAGATGATGTATTACAGAATTGTACACCTTAAATCTATGTAACTTTGCTAACAATTGTCACCCCAATAAACTTTAATAAATAAATAAATAAATCTTAAAAATTTTACATACAGCAAGACTTACTTTTTATGGTGTATATTTCTGTAGGATTTTAAGAATTCAGAGTTGTATATCCACCATTTCAGTTGTGAAATAGAACAGTTGTATCACATTCAAAAGTTCTCTTGTACTTTAATTCTATCTATTCTTATGCTGTTACCACACTGTATTATTTTACCTTCATAATAAAACCTGATTTATGAAGAATATATCTCCTTGGTTTTTTTCAGTATGTCTTGATTACTTTTAGTCCTTTCACTTCTATATACATATACATATAAAAATTTGGTTTCTGATTGGCATTGTATTGAACAGATAGATCATTTTGCTATTAATAAACAATATAAAACATGGTCCTTTTATTGGTTTGTAATTGTTATTTTTGTAAGAACAGGTAATGCCCAGTTTATTTTAGCATGACAAACTATTGATTACACATATTAGCTTTATTAAATGGAAAAAAATGCAGATTTCAGATGTTATTAATATGTTATGCTAAATGTTTAAATAATTGTTTTTTCAGTTACCAGCCAATAGTTGACTACATAGATGCTCAATTTGAGACCTATCTTCAAGAAGAATTGAAGATTAAACGTTCCTTTGTTGATTACCATGATTCTCGTATCCATGTGTGCCTTTACTTCATTTCACCTACAGGACATTCTTTGAAGTCTCTTGATCTATTAATGATGAAAAACATTGGCAGTAAGGTGTGTTTGGTAAATCTATCAACCTATCAGGATTTGATAATTATTTTGAGATAATGTATATCTTGAAGATATTTGCATACAAGAACTTATTTTGTAATATGTGTATATTTTTCTGTTAATTTTTAAAGCGTTTGCATTAGTTTCTTAGGAATAACATTACAAAATACCACAGAGTAGTAGTTTAAACAACAGCAATTAATTTTCTCACAGTTCTCAAGGCTAGAAGTCCAAGATCAAGGTATTACCAAATTTTGTTTTTCTGAAACCTTTCCACTTGGGTGACAGATGGCTGTGTTTTCACATTTTTTCTTTGTGCACACATCTGATATTTATTTGTGTGTCCAAGTTTCCCCTTCTTGTAAAGATACCAGTCAGTGAGAATTAGGTCACACCCTAATGGCCTCATTTTAACTTAATCACCTCATTAAAGGACCTCATATTTCCAAATTCAGTCACATTTTGAGATATTGAGGATTGAGACTTCAATATATGCATGGGATGGAGGACACAGTTTCAGCTTATAACAGCATTTGATAAATTTCAATCATAGTTTTCTTTCCAGAAAAATTTAATTAGAAATATGCATTATTTAGGACAATGAAATGCAGGTAAAAACGTCATTTAATTAAAAATTTAGGGTTTTTTGTGATTAAATAACTCAGATCATGGTCATATGCCTATATTTTTGAAATTAAATTTATAGTACTATAAAGTAATCTCATTAACACTTACCTGGTACCAGAGAGGTTGTGAAACATGAGGCTTTCATGATCCTGGATACTGGTATTATTAGAGAGGATACAGAATGCTACATACAGTAAAACCTTGGATTGCGAGTAACTCGGTTTGCGAGTGTTCCGCAAGACGAGCAAACGTTTCTATTAGGTTGGTGCAAAAGTAATCGTGGTTTTTGCCGTTACTTGTACTGGCAAAAACCACGATTACTTTTGCACCAACCTAATAATACATTTTTAACTTGGTAAATGAGCCGATGTCTTTCAATACATGTAGTTTGTTTCTGGAATGAATTATGCTTGCAAACTGAGGTATTACTGTATATCTTTTTTACAACAGAGTGTCAATATACATATAAATAATTTATGTCATGAGCTTTTTTTCTGCGCTCAGCCCTTATAAAACATGCTGTTTTCAATTTTATTCAGTTGAAGAGAGAAAAAGTTCTAAAATTCTTTTGTTCTATCAAAGAAGTCCTGACTTTTTATATGTATAATTCAAACTAGAAAAAAAATTTTGTGCTTAATCTCATATTATATATAACCAAGTAGTTTAAGATGGATTTATGGAGAAAGTAATGCAAATAAATACAGGTAGAAGACAAATTATTTTATAATCTTTATGAAATGTCTCTTCTGCTTTTATAGCACTTAGTTAAATAAGAAATAAAATTTATAATGAATTAAATAGATTACATCATCTTACTACTTACATTTTACTAACTCCCAATGTGTTAGAAATGTAAGAAAGTTTGAGAAAGGAACAAAAGTTAAGACTTCTAAATTTGAACTCTGATAAAAAAATTTATCTTCAAAAGTACTGAGTATTTTGGAAAGCAATTTTGTGAAGAAGGCATGATAGTCAGTAATTATCTAATTACAAGTATTTATTGTCAGAGATTGTGGGGTTTTGCCTGTAATAATTCCAGGATTAACAACAAATCCTCAATGGTGACATTTTGTTTCCTTCCTTCTTAATAGGTAAATCTTATACCACTGATTGCCAAAGCAGATACAATTTCTAAAACTGATTTACAGAAATTTAAGTGTAAGATAATGAGTGAATTGGTTAGTAATGACATCCAGATATACCAGTTCCCAACAGATGATGAAACTTCTGCTCAAGTGAACTCCTCAATGAATGTAAGCTTCTAACTATTGAATGTCAATTCTATTTTACAAATGGGAATAAAATATGAATTATAAGTAACAATACTAGTAATATACTATCATTTATTCCTGATAAAGAGACTATAAATAAGGTATTTTTTAAAAATCCAGTGTGGAAAGTTTTATTTCCTTGATTTTTAAAAATGTCCACTAAGAATCAATTCTATTTTTTAACAGCTTTATTGAGATATAGTTGACATACTTATAATTCACTCATGAAAGTATACAGATCAATAATTTTTTTCTATTTACAGATGTGTGCACCCATCACCACAATCTATTTTGGAACATTTTTATCATCTCAAAGATAAATCCCATACCATTAGCTCTTCTCCTCTACTATCTATCTATCTGTGAGCTTTCCTCTCCACCAACCCTAGGCAACCACTAATCAATTTCTCTGTAGATTTTTCTGTTTTGGATATATCATTTGAATGGAATTATATATTTGGTTTATTCATATCCTTGTTGGCTATTAGTATATCTTCCCAGGAGATAATGATTACTCAGATCTTTCACAAAGTTTTATTGTACTTTTTTCTTTTTTTTTATCAAGTTGTAAGAGTTCTTTATATATTCTGGATGCCAGTTCCTTATTAGATATAGGATTTGCAAATATTTTCTTCCAATGTGTTAGTAATCTTTTCACTTTTCTTATTAAATTATTTTTTATTATGAAATACACATTTTTAGAATTATTTTCAGCTGTACAACACAGTGCAATAGTTATACTTTTTACCCCTCAAAGTGACAACCCCCTCCCCCAATCTGCCACCCCATTTCCCCCCAATATCATACATATCTATTACAACTCCCTTGACTCCACTCCCGCACTATACTCCACATCCCATGACAATATATATATATATATATATATATATATATA